GCGGTTTGACGGAGGCGCCTCGGTTGTGGTATCTCCGAGCCCGCCAGGTGCTGACGGACGAGGTCGGCTTTGTGGAGCTGCGCTGTGATCGGGCCGTCTGCGTTTACCGGGTGACCGGCAAGTTGATTGCTATGTTGACGTTGCACGTCGACGACGGCATGTTGTTTGGGGGGCCCGCGCGACCCCCAGTGCCAGAAGGTGAAGGCGAATTTCAACGAGCGCTTCAACATCAAGCACTGGGAGGAGGGCAACGACAAGGAGGCAGTCGCCCATCTCGGGGAGGAGTGGTGGCGCCACCCCGATCACATCGAGATCAGCATGCACGAGTACATCGGCAAGCTGACAAAGCACCCCCTTGCAAGGGGGGAGGGCGAGGGGCGGGAGATGACTCCCGAAGAGCACCGCGACTTCCGGAGCTTGCTCCAGAAGGTGCGCTGGCCTGTCGCACGCGTGGTGCCACAGCTCGCTGACAGTGCGTCGGCGCTCGCACAGAAGGATCCGACATGTCGGCGGTTATTGCGCCTGCGAGTGCTCAATGACATCATCGACCGACTTCAGGATTACGACAAGAGAGGTCTTGCGACTCTCCGGATCCGCCATGTGGACATCGAGCGCTTGCAGGTGCTCACGCTCATGGACGCTTCGTTCGCGAAGGAGCCCGGCTGTAAGAGCCAGATGGGGTTCATGAGTATGATTGCGGACGTGCGCGTGTTGAAGGAGTTAGCGGTGTGTTGTCTCGTGGAGTTCCAGAGCAGTACTATTACACGAGTTGTTGGATCCACGATGACCGCAGAGTCTGCAGCTATGTCCGTTGCTTTGGATCGGCAGCTCTACCTCAGGCTGCTTATCGAGGCAGTCTTGCACGGGGAGCCGCCCTTGCAGGGGGACTGGAGGCTGGTGCTGAAGGCCCCAGGGGCGCTTGTGACGGATGCGAAGTCGCTCTACGATCACACGTCCAAGATCGGTTCGATGCCGGTGTTTCGGCAGACCCCCATCGACCTGTTGGTGGCCAAGGACTTGATCGAGCAGGAGGCCATCAAGTTCAAGTGGCTGCCCAACAGCCACATGCTGGCGGACGTGCTGACGAAGGCCGTGCAGCCCAACGAGGTGCTATTGCAGTTCCTCCGCCACGGAGTGTTCAGCATGGTGCCGACTGCTGAACAGGAGGATGAGGAGGCACACCGTCTGCGGCTGCGCCGCGGACAGCGTGAGAGAGCCAAGGGGCGGAAGGTCCAGCGTCGGGCCGCCGTTTCAGGGCCTGCGAGCCCATGAAGGTCCTGTTGCAGCCGCTGCATGGGCCTGGTGATGGCTACGGTGACGTGCACACGCACATCGAGATGACAGTCTGGATCAGTGAGTCTGGACATTCATATTTCATATTTTGAGCCTCAGGCCGCACTTGTGCTTGAGGTGCTCCGGCCTGTGGGCCGGAAGAGGCGGTGACCGCGTGCAGCGTTTCACGCTTGTAAGAGGCGGCATCGGGGCAGCATTGTTCTCACCCAGTGTGAAGAGGGCACCCTCCCTGCCCCTCTGCCGCCCCGTGCCGCCATTGTAAGCAGGATGCATGGATGGTGCATTCTGTGCATACTTTTCATGTTTGCGGCGCGCACGCTGCCCGCCGCCGTTTGGCCCTAGTCCTAGGGCCCTGGGACTGCACTCAGCAGACAGGTCGCCGCGCGGCCCGAGTGAAAACATTCACATTGACAGTCGCCGCCGTCGCCGTCATTGTCGCCGTCTTCGTGTGACCTTGTCGTCGTCGTCACGACGAGGGCGAGGTCATGCGAAGTCGGCGACGGACGACGGACGACGCGCGACCGACGACCGACGACGACGACGACCCAGGGTCAGAGAAAACGAGACCACGACCCAGGGGCTGAGAAAACGAGGAAACGAAGCAAGGTCCGAGAAAACGAGACCACGGCCCAGAGGCCGAGAAAACGAGAAAACGAGAAAACGAACCATGGTCCCAAAAAACACACCAGGGTCTGAGAAAACGAGACAACGAAACGTGTGAGGGGTGCGCCGAACTGGAGGTGGAACTGCATGCGGACCCTGCCACTGGGTCCTTCGGTGGAGCTCCCTATGGGACCACGAAGCGTGTGAGGGGTGCGCCGCAATGGAGGTGGAACAGCATGCGGACCCTGCCACTGGGACCTTCGGTGGAGCTCCCTATGGGGCCACCGAACGTGTGAGGGGTGCGACGAACTGGAGGTGGAACTGCATGCGGACCCTGCCGCTGGGACCTTGGGCGGAGCGCCCTATGGGGCCACCCAACGTGTGAGGTGTGCGCCGAAATGGAGGTGGAAATGCGTGCGGACCCTGCCACTGGGGCACTCGGTGGAGCGCCCTATGGGGCCACGAAACGTGTGAGGGGTGCGCCGAGCTGGAGGTGGATCAACGTGCGGACCCTGCCACTGGGGCACTCGGTGGAGCGCCCTATGGGGCCACGAAACGTGTGAGGGGTGCGCCGAACTGGAGGTGAAACTGCATGCGGACCCTGCCGCTGGGGCCTTGGGCGGAGCGCCCTATGGGGTTACGCAACGTGCGAGGGGTGCGCCGAAATATAGGTGGGACTGCATGCGGAACCTGCCACTGGGGCCTTCGGCGGAGCGCCCTATGGGGCCACGAAGCGTGTGAGGGGTGCGCCGCAATGGAGGTGGAACAGCATGCGGACCCTGCCACTGGGGCCTTCGGCGGAACACCCTATGAGGCCACCGAATGTGTGTGGGGTGCGTCGGAATGGAGGTGGAACTGCATGCGCACCCTGCTCCTGGGACCTTCGGCGGAGCGCCCTGTGGGGCCACGAAACGTGTGAGGGTTGCGCCGAGCAGGAGGTGGAACTGCATGTGGACCCTGCCGCTGGGACCTTGGGTGGAGCTCCCCATGGGGCCGGCCACGAAACGTGTAAGGGATGCGCCGAAATACGGGTGGGACTGCGTGCGGACCCTGCCACTGGGACCTTGCGCGGAGCGCCGTATGGGGCCACGCAGCGTGCGAGGGGTGCGCCGAAATGGAGGTGGAACTGCATGCGGACCCTGCCACTGGGGCCTTCGGCGGAGCTCCCTATGGGGCCACGAAACGTGTGAGGGGTGCGCCGCAATGATGGTGAAACTGCATGCGGACCCTGTCACTCTGCCACTGGGGCCTTCGGCGGAGCGCCCTATGGGGCCACGAAACGTGTGAGGGGTGCGCCGAAGTGGAGGTGGAACTGCATGCGGACCCTGCCATGGTGACCTTCGGTGGAGCTGCCTATGAGGCCACGCAGCGTGTGAGGGGTGCGCCGAAATGGGCATGCGAGAGAGCAGAGGCAGGGAGGGGAGGAGGAGGGGGAGGAGGAGGAGGAGGAGTGAGTGAGGCGACGCGGGGCGCTGTCTCTTCAAAGCGAAGACCCAACACCACAGGATGATTGGGAAATGCCCAAGGGAGACCCAAGATGGCCCAAGAGGGCCTCAAGACGGCCCAAGAAAGCGCCAAGACGGTCCGGGAGAGCCCCCAGAGGGCCCCCAGAGATGCCCAAGAGGGCCCCAAGAGGTCCCCAAGAGAGCCTCAAGACGGCCAAAGCACACCAAGACAGCCCAGAAGGGCCCCGGGACGGCCCAAGATGACTTCAAGAGGACCCCCAAGAGGGTTCGAGGAGGGCAACACACACTGATTATCCCTTCGGTTTTTGCCCAAGAGGGCTCGAGGAGGGCAAACATATTGATTTGCCTCAGGTCTTGAATGTATGTATGTAAGTTTTTTGCCAAGGTGTTCCCCTTTCCTGGCTTCCGACGGCCCAAGCAGGTTCGAGAGGTGCCACAAGTCGCCCCAAGACGGCCCAATACGCTTCCAAGAGGGCTCCAACAAGGCCCAAGAGAGCCCCAAGATACCCCAAGTGGGCCCCAAGACGGTTCGGGAGGGCCCCAAGAGGTTCCCAAGAGAGCCTCAGGACGGCCAAAGCCCCCCAAGGCGACCTAGAAGGGCCCAGGATGGCCCGAGACGGCCTCATGAGGACCCCCATGCAAGCTTGAGAACGCCAACAACATTATCTGTTCGTCGGTGTTTGAAGGTTTTCATGGTTCTCGCCGCGTCGGGCTTCCGACGGCCCGAGACGGCCGAAGAGGTGTCAAGCATCGCGGCCCCCAAGAGTGCCCAAGAGTGCCCCAAGACGGCCCTGGAGGGTCCCAAGACGGCCCTAGAGGGCCCCAAGACACCCTCCACGCGGGCTCAGGAGTGCGAGTGCGCCAGGAGAGCCACTAGACGGCCCAAGACCCCCATGACGGTCCAAGAGGGCAGCAAGACGGCCCAAGAGGGCCCCGAGACGGCCGAATACTGCTCCCAATGGAATCCCAAGATGCCCAAACGATGCCGTAACATGTCCCCCAATTGGCTTCAAACTTGCCTCCAGAAAGCTGCCCAGAGGCTCCAACACAGATCCCAACAGGCATCCCAGCGGTCTCTGACCAGGAACCCAGGCTCGGAGGATGGATGGGCCGGAGATTATTCTGAGGGGCGGAAGATGCCTGAGGCCCCAGCCCAGAGACCGCAGTCACCCATGGGTAACACGGGCCTGTCGAGAGTGCTCTGGACCTCTATTTCCGAGGCGAGGCGCCCTCAAAACGGGCTCCAAAATTTCAAAATGCAGCCAAGACAGTCCAAGAGTGTCCACGCTCCCTGGGGGGCACGATCCGTGTGAAGAGTGTGCCGACACGAGCGGAGGAACGCAATGAGATCCCGCCCCATTCCTTTCACTCCCTCCGTTCCTCCTCTCTCTCTAACCTCGCCAGGCAGGGTCTGATCTCATCCTTCCTTCCGCCTGTGTCCTCGCTCCTCCCTCCCTCTTCTTCCATCGGCGCTCCTCTTTCCTCCTTCTCTTCACGTGGTAAAGAGCCCCAAGGCGGCCGAAGAGGCCCCAGGAGGCTCCCACAAGGGCCCGAGTGACTCAGGAGAGCCGCTAGACGACCGAAGATCCAGAAGACGGTCTAAGAGGGTCATAAGCCAGCCAGAAAGAGTCCTAAGAGGGCCGGGAATTACTTCAAACAAGCTCCCAAGAGGGCCCAAAGAGGCTAACATCGCTGTCTTGCGTTGGGTTGATCATTGAGGCTCTCCAGAGCGAGCAGTGCAGTACTGCCATTTTGATGCTTGGATTTTGCTGCCGTGTTTGGTGAGACGAGTGGGTCGTTCCACAGCGATGCGGGTTCAATGAGCCGACGGTCGTTGCTGCGGGATCCAAGGCGGCCACATTCTTCACAGCGATGCTGGCTCAATGAGCCAGCAATCGTGGCTGCGAGCACGACGGCAGGGACGCTGCCATCGGTGATGACAGGAGCAGGGAAGCACCCGAAGAGACTCCTCCATTCCAGGCTGGCACCCTGCCTTACCCTTCCTGCATCCACCATCGTACCCCCACCGTTCTCTCCCCCTCACATTTCCACCTCCCTCCGTCTGAACATCGCCTTGCCTTTCATTTGCATCCTCCCTCCTCCCTGTGGCCTTCTCCTCTTTCTCCCCCTTCATCTCTATTTTGCATCCCCCCTTGGCCGTCCGTCTTTCCTTCCTGATCCTGCTCTGTTTGTAGTTTCCTCAGTTCTGGCTCCTCCCTCTGATGCCTACTGCTCCCATTGCCCCAGTACCTTGCTGCCTTCTTCTTGTTGCCCCCTCCATCCTGCCCCCTCCATCCTGCGTCCTTGTCTCCCGTCCCCCCTTGTTCCCGCCTCCTCCCTATGCCATCCGCCCACCCTCTTCATTTTCATTCTGCATCTCCTTTTCATTATGCATCCTCTGTTTTCCTTTTACGCTACTTCTCACCCTTCTCCCTCTCTCTGTGTCTTTCTCTCTCGCGTCCGCCTTACTGTCCCAAGACTTGAGCATGGTGCGCGATTGAACGTCCAGGCGCGCGGTGAACAAGTAGAACTTGAGCGCGCGCGAAGCGCTCGCGATGGTTCTAGTGTATATATATATATATATATGTATATAAACATTTTCATACCATTCTGCGAAATGGGCCTCTCGCGCCGCGCGTCGAAATCATTCGAGCGCCCTCGCGCGCGTGCTGGGGGGGGGGGGGGCGATCGGTGTCAAATAATGCCATGCGGGCCACTCTCGCGCGTCGGCCGCGCGCGCATGCCGAACTCCTCCCTCCAAAACCTTCATCGCCGACGCGAAGACGCCGTCATCGCAGTCGGTGTGATCAGCATCAGCGCCGTCACTAGCCTGGCCGTCGTCGTTGTCATCGTCGTCGCCAGCATCGCTACCATCATCATCGCGTCTACCGTCGTCGCTGCGCCCGCGAGCATGCGCGGGCCAGCGCGGCCGCAGAGACGCACCAGCCAACGCCAAGCACTCATCGCAATCGCCGCCGCATGGGTTTTGCAAACCAAGTTGCGGGTGGGTGGGTGGGATGATTGCGCGAACAGCGGAGTGGACAACTCACTGCGGACATACATGACTTTTCTTCTCTCAGAAGAGAATGAAACGGGAGAACAACCCTAATCATAATCTTTTTAAGGCCAAAGGGCTATAGGGCTATAGGACTATGAGGCTCTGGGGCTATAGGGCTACAGGGCTATCGGAGGTTTGGGTGTGAGTCCGACGTGAAACGGAGACCCCCCCTACCGGGAAATCGATTTCGGTCTCGGGTTCGTGTCGTGCGTGCCGTGCGTGCGTGCGGGCGAGGCGAAGCTGCGTGGGCGGGCGAGAGGAAATCCTCCTGTTGCTGGGCCGTGGCCGGATCAAAGGTTCCTCCTCCGGCGGCCGGTGCCGCGCGATGTCCCGCGCGATGTCCCGCCAGTGTCCCGCGGGTGTCCCGTGGTGTGGTGTCCCGTGGTGTCCCGTTGAGTGAGATCGATAGTGAGATCGATAGTAAGATCGATAGTGAGATCGATACTGAGATCGATGTGGTGCCCGAGGTGTCCCGTGGTGTCCCGTGGTGTCCCAAGAAGTGAGATTGATAGTGAGATCGATACTGAGATCGACAGGTGTTCCGTGGTGTTCCGTGGTGTCCCGTGGTGTCCCGTTGAGTGAGATCGATAGTGAGACCGATAGTGAGATCGATGAGGTGTCCCGTGGTGTCCCGTGGTGTCCCGTGGTGTCCCGTTGAGTGAGATCGATAGTGAGATCGATAGTGAGACCGATAGTGAGATCGACAGGTGTTCCGCGGTGTCCCGTGGTGTCCCGTGGTGGCCCATGGTGTCCCGTGATGTCCCGTTGAGTGAGATCGATAGTGAGATCGATCGTGAGATCGACAAGTGTCCCTTGGTGTCCCTTGGTGTTCCGTTGAGTGAGATTGATAGTGAGATCGACTGACTCAGATGTTGGTTCCCCCCCACAACCTCTTCACCACCCGACGGGTGGACGTATATGTAAGGTTATAGGGCTACAGGGCTATAGGGCTATAGGGCTATAGGGCTATAGGGCTACAGGGCTATAGGGCTATAGGGCTATAGGGCTACAAGGCTCTAAGGCCATACGGTTGTAGGGCTATATGGCTATAGGGCTATAGGGCTATTAGGGCTATAGGGCTATAGGGCTATATGGCCATAATGCTATAGGGCTATAGAGCTAGACGGTTATCAGGCAACATGGCTATAGGGCTACCGGGCACCTGGGCAGCTTGGCGTCCGGGCACCCGGGCACCCAGGCGAGAGGAAGTCTTAACCGTAAGCGGCGGGTTCTTAACCGTAAGCGTGGTGCCAGACTACAGTACCAGACTAGAGTACCAGAGTAAAGCAACATATTAGAATATCAGACTGAAGTATCAGACTAAAGTACTAGACTAAAGTACCTGACTGGCGGCACCAGACTAGTGGTACCAGACTAGCGGTACCCGACTAGCGCTACCAGACTAGCGGTACCATATCAAAATGCCACACTAAAATACCAGACTAGCGGTATCATACTAAAGTGCCAGACTAAAGTAGCATACGGAAGTGCCATATTTAAGTGCCAGACTAAAGTACCAGACTAGCGGTACCAGACTAGCGGTACCAGACTAAAGTACCAGGCTAAAGCACCAGACTAAAGTACCAGACTAAAGTACCAAACTCAAGTATCAGACCAGGGATACCAGGCTAAACTACCAGACTAGCGGTACCAGACTAGCGGTACCAGACTGGAGTATCATACTAGCGGTACCAGATTTAGCTACCAGACTAGCGGTACCAGACTACAGTACCAGACTAAAGTATCAGGCTAGCGGTACCATATTAAAATACCATACTAAAGTGCCAGATTAAAGTACCAGTTTAGCAGTACCAGTCTGGAGTGCCAGACTAGCAGTACCAGACTAGCGGTACCAGACTCGAATACCAGTTTAGCGGTACCAGACTCGTGTACCAGACACAAGTACCAGATTAAGGTATCATACTCAAATACCAGATTAGTTGTACCAGACTAAAGTGCCAGACTAGCAGTACCAGACTAACGTACCAGACTAGCGGTACCAGACTCAAATACCAGTTTAGCGGTACCAGGCTGAAATACCAGACGAAAGTACCAGATCAAGGTACCAGACTAGCGGTATCATACTAACGTACCAGACTAAAGTCGCATACGGAAGTACCAGACTAAAGTACCAGACTAGCGGTACCAGACTAGCTGTACCAGACTAAAGTACCAGGTTCAAGTACCGTACTACCGTAGCAGACTAGTGGTACCAGAGTCAAGTACCAGACTAGCAGTACCAGACTAAAGTACCAGACTAGCGGTACCAGACTAAAGTACCAGACTAGCGGTACCATACTAAAGCACCAGGATAAAGTACCAGGCTAAAGTATCAGATTAGCGGTACCAGACTAAAGTACGAGGCGGCTAGAGTACCAGACTAAAGTGCCAGACTAAAGTATCAGACTAGCGATATCAGACTAAACTACCAGACTAGCGGTACCAGACTAGCGGTACCAGACTTAGCTACCAGACTAGCGGTACCAGACTTGAGTACCAGACGAGCGGTACCAGACTAAAGTACCAGACTAAAGTATCAGGCTAGCGTACCAGATTAGCGGTACCATACTAAAGTACCAGACTAAAGTACCAGATTAGCGGTACCAGTCTGGAGTACCAGGCTAGCAGTACCAGACTAGCGGTACCAGACTCAAGTACCAGTGTAGCGTACCAGACTAAAGTACCAGACGAAAGTACCACATCCAGGTACCAGACTCAAATACCAGACTAGCTGTACCAGACTAAAGTACCAGACTAGCAGTACCAGACTAAAGTATCAGACTAGGGGTACCAGACTAAAGTACCAGGCTAGCAGTACCAGTCTAGCGGTACCAGACTAAAGTACCAGACTAGCATTACCAGTCTAGCGGTGCCAGACTAAAGTACCAGATTAGCGGTACCAGGCCCAACTGCCAGTCGAAAGTGCCAGACTAGCAGTACCAGACAAGCGGTACCAGACTAGCGGTACCATACGAAAATACCAGACTCAAGTACCAGACTAGCGGTACCATAATCAAGTACCGGACCAAAGTACCAGACTAAAGTACCAGGTTAAAGTACCAGACTAATGTATCAGACAAATGTACCAGATCGGCGTATCAGTCGAACCAGATTCAATTACCACACTCAAATACCTTTCTGATGTAACCGACATGTGTATCATACTAATCAGACTAATGTACCAGGCTAATGTGCCAGACTCATCAGACGAACGTACCAGACTAATGTACCAGACCATAGTACCAGAATAAGCTATTAAACTAAAGTGCCAGACTAAAGTACCAGACTAAAATACCAGACTAATGTACCAGACCAGTGTACCAGACTAACCAGACTCAAGTACCAGACTAAAGTACAAGACTAATGTACCTCACTAATGTACCAGACTAATTTTCCAGACTCGCCAGACGAGCGTACCAGACTAGCGTACCATATTAATCAGACTAATGTACCAGACGGATGTTCCAGGCTAGAGTGCCAGACTAATGTACCAGACTACAGTACCGGACTGAAGTACCATACTAAAGTACCAGACTAAAGTACAAGACTAGAGTACTCGACTGATGTACCAGATCAATGTACCAGACTATTCACACTAACGTACCAGACTAATGTTCCAGACTAATCAGACAATTGTACCAGAAGGATGCACCAGACTAACCAGACTAACGTACCAGGCTAATGTAGTGTAGTCTGGTACGGTAGTCTGGAATTTTCGTCTGTTTAGTCCAGTACTTTTGTCTGGTACATAAGTCTGGTAGTTTAAACTGGTACTTTAGTCTGGTACTTTAGTCTGATACCGCGCTTACGGTTAAGAACTACTCTCCACCGCCGAAATCGGCGCCCCACCTCACCAAACCATATTAATCCGCTAGGACCCCTACAGAGGCAAGCTCTGATTGAGTAG